GTTAGTTGTTTTGCTGTCAAAGAAGACTGAATGGGCTGACAATAGTGTTATTAAAGTCTTTTACTGGCTAATGGGTCAAAGAAGACAAACAAGATTCTTTCCTCCCACTGTACACACAATTTTTACTCAGTTATCGCAACATTACCACAAGCATGTGAATTCTGCACAAGTTGCCAGGCAACATTATGCTTGGAAATAATACTGGGAGGGGAAAGGACTAAAAACATGACTTAGTTATGCCGGGCAGGTGGGTGGAACCCTTCTCTCCAGTACAGTGTGTCCTCTACTTCAGTTTGAAATTAGAAAAAAAAAATCAGGACAGTTACTTAAAACTTCAGTTAGGTTGTGGCTGTATTTAAACCATAACATTGTGCCACGTGTTTAGTTGGAGGACACAGGACTTGGGTTTCCTATTTCTGAACTGGTTTTAAAGATGACTATAATTTCCTTTAATCATTCCAGAAACATTTACTAAGTACTTCCTCAGGGACTGAGGCATAGAACTAGGCTCTAAATAAAGACAAAACTGGGTGGGAAGGAAAGGAGTAAACAAAATAAATGTTCCACAATCCTCAATTCCACAACAGCAATACCCAATCAAGTGCAAGTTGATAACCAACGACCAGTAATGGATGTGTCCAGTGTAGGTATGAGCATCACGTAGGCAAAGGCATTATAAGGGAAGTGAGTGGCTCTAGGATTCTGTTGTTTTCCTGTGTGGAAATCAGCCCAGGGCCTCACCAAGATGCACACACATTTTCAACTTTATAAAAATGCTTATTTTCCCCTAAGTCATTCTACACATTTGTTGTGCATTTCACTCTGAACCAAGACTATTCCCAGGCCCTTTTGCTCCAGCCCATTTTAGGGAGCTCATAGGTAGCAAAGTAGGAGTGAAAAGAAGACAAAACAAATACTATTAAAAGTTTTACCTCCAGGGCTGGGAAGGTGGCTCAGTGGTAGAGCACCTGCCTTGCAGGCATGAGGCCCTGGGTTTGATTCCTCAGCACCATATAAGAAAAAAGAAAAAAGCCGGAAGTGGCGCTGTGGCTCAAGTGGTAGAACGCTAGCCCTGAGCTGAAGAGCTGAGGGACAGTGCCCAGGCCCAGAGTTCAGGCCCCACGGCTGGACCCTCCCCAAAAAAAGAAAAAAAAAGTTTTACCTCCAGAGAAGGGAATTGAGCTGGTATCTTACCACAGATAGATAGATATAGATAGATAGATATTAATTTAAAGAAACTTTTTAAATTTGTCAATCCTGGGGCTTGAACTCAGGGCCTGGGCACTGTCCCTGAACTTTTTTTTTTTTTTTTGGGTCCGGTGGTGGGGCCTGAACTCTGGGCCTGGGCGCTGTTCCTCAGCTCTTCAGCTCAAGGCGAGCGCTCTCTCACTTGAGCCACAGCGCCACTTCTGGCTTTTTTCTTTTTGCTTATGTGGTGCTGAGGAATCAAACCCAGGGCCTCATGCCTGCAAGGCAGGCGCTCTACCACTGAGCCACCTTCCCAGCCTCCCTGAACTCCTTTTGCCCAAGGCTAGCACTCTACCACTTGAGCCAGAGCATCAATTCCAGCTTTTTCTGTTCATGTGGAACTGAGGAATCAAACCAGGGGTTTCATGCATGGTAGCCTTGCATTCTACCACTAAGCCACCTTCCAAGCCCACAATTTATATTTTTATTTGAGACAGGAAAAGGAAAATACAGATAAAGGAGGAAATAAATAAGGTGTGATACTCGTTAATCTAGTCCAAACTTTCATTGAGTAAAGTTGTAATCTGTTCAAATTTGGTTTTTGTGTTTAGGTCTGGGGGACTTGAATGAGGTACCTGATGCTTTTGCCCAGTGGCTAGCTAGGACTCTACCAATTGAGTCATGCCTCTAACCTCTCAAAGTCTTACAAAGGGAAGAATATCAGCAAATCTGCTAATTTAGGAAACAAACCATTACTGGTTGGCTCTTATTAGCGAGCACCTAATCCATATGAGATCACTAAAATGAACACTGCAGAAAAAGTCCCTATCAACAAGAACCTCATTTTTCTAAAAGGGTATAGTGACAATATAATTTAAGGTAACTATGAAGGCTGTTAAGGCAATAAACAGTATTGGGAAAGCACTAAGGGTGTGTGCGTGTGTCTGAGCACGTGTATGTTTATGGGGGGGGGTGAGTTTGCATGTCACAGAACTCATATAGCAAGGTTTCATTGGAAACTCAACGGGTGTCCAGGGGCCTTTAAAGTTCCTATTTGCATAAATAGCACATTTTTACACACAACTCAAGCTGTTGACCAATAAAATGTTTTAAAAGTTGTTTATTAACATTGACATACAATTGAGTAAATGTTAAATATCTAAATAATCAAATAATGTTGTCCTCAGATGTGACAGAAAAGGATAAGAGTTAGCAGCAGGAGTGTTAGCTATCACTTCTTTAGTTCTGGCATCTGTGTATCTGAGAATGCTTCTCCCTGAAATGGACCAGAGCACTGTTCTGATCCTGTACTAGTTTAAAGTTTGGGTTAGCCTCCAAAAAGATATGTTTATGTATCTGCTAGGAAATGCCTGACAATTGTTGGTTCTTTACTGGGTCGTCAGTTGTGATCTCAGGAAATTCTCTGTTAAGTACTAAGATATATTTTCATTAAAAATTCAGCTTGACTGGGTGCTGTGATCCCAGCACACCAGAGGCTGGAGCAGGAGAGATGGCCAGAAGATGAGGCCAGTCTGAGATACAATCGTTGACTTTTTTTTTTTTTTTTTGCCAGTCTTGGACTTGAACTCAGAGCCTAGGCACTGTTCCTAAACTTATTATTATCATTATTATTTCATTTTTATTTTTTGGTCGGTTGTGGGGCTTGAACTCTGGGCTTGGGCGCTATCCCTCAGCTCTTCAGTTCAAGGCAAGTGCTCTACCACTTGAGCTGCAGTGCCACTTCGGGTTTTCTAGTGGTTTATTGGAGATAAGAGTCTCACAGACTTTCCTACTGGGCTGGCTTTGAACTTCGATCCTCAGACCTCAGCCTCCTGAGTAGCTAGGATTATAGACATGAGCCACCGGCGCCCCGTTTGTTGTTCCTAAACTTTTTTTGCTTAGGCTAGTGCTCTACCACTTTCAGCCACAGTGCTGCTTCCCCTTTTCCTGGTGGTTAATTGCAGAAGAGTCTCTGGGACTTTCCTGTTCAGGCTATCTTTGAAAGGCAATCCTTAGGATTACAGGCAATAACCATCGATGCCAGGTTTCATAGATTCTTTACAAAAAAAGTTATTTTGATCTGAGCCTTTGAAAAGTGTTGGAATAGAACAACATACATCAGAAACTGCTGGAACTCACAGAGGGCTAAAAGATAACAGAAATAAGTGTAAAAAGCTGGGTGTGGTGACTCATGCCTGTAATCCTAGCAACTGAGGAGGCTGAGACCTGAGGATCACAGTCCAACCCAGGCAGGAAAGTCTGTGAGACTCTTACCTCCCATAAACCACTATAAGAACCAGAAGTGGCACTGTGGCTCAGGCTTGCCTTGAGCTGAGGAGCGAAGAGACAGCACGCAGGTCCAGAGTTCAAGCCCCACAGCTGACAAAAAAAAAATGTAAAAGGCCATTCAACCCAAGACTTCTGTTTAGCAATGTGAATCAGAGCAAATCCACAAGAACAGACACTTACATCCAGAATTCACAAAAAGTGAGCTCTAATCTACTGTGAATGAGAATCTAAATTGATTTTCTGCAGGTAAGTTTGGCAATCTTATGTCCTTGGACTCTGGTAATTCCTACTGTCAGTGAATTCCTACTGTCAGGGCGCTGGTGGCGCACACGCCTGTGATCCTAACTACTCAGGAGGCTGGGCTCTGAGGACGCAGTTGGAAAGTCCGCGTGAGACTCCAACAAACTACGCAGAGAAAGTGGCGCCGTGGCTCAAGCACAAAGAGGCTCAAGCCCCAGGACCCGCAAACCACCAGCACCACCACTAAGAAGGAAAAAGAGTCCGGTTACGAGGGAGAAGTGCACACCAGGCCAATCAGTTCGGCCAACGCCAACCAAACCAAAACACCGTAGTAGCTTAGCGGTCGCTCAGTGCGGTGCGGGGGCTGGCGGGACGGAGGGGGAGGGGGGAAGGCCGCAGGGAGGAGGGAGGGCGAGGGGGGAGTGGCCAGGGTTTTGCTTGTTTGCCAGGCGAAGTCCGGCCCCGCCGCCGAGCTGGCTCCGCCGGCCCGGCGGCGCTCACGTCGGGGTGGGCACGTGGCCACCCGGGGTGAGGGGGACAGGCCGAGAACACCGGTGCCAGTGTCCCAGCACGCACAGCTCAATTCGCTCGCCCTTCCCGCGTGGACTCGGAGGGTTCGGCCGACGCACTAGAGCTCCGGCGGTTCGGAAGCGGCCAGAGGCAGTAGTCGCCACCCCCCCCCCAGACCTTGCCACCGGAACGTGACTTCGCACAGCCACGCCCAGGACGTCCCCGAGGCCCAGCCCCTAGGAGCGTGGGGCTGGCCCCCGACTCCGGCCAGCTCTCCTCCCCACAGTGAGACCTCGGGGCTCCGAGCCCGGCCTCACCACCGCCGAGTGAGCCCCAGCGCTCCGCGGCTCCGCCCCGGCCTGGCGGCGCGCCGAGTGAGAGGGCGGAGCCAGCAGGTTCGCGCCAAAATCGCGTAGCTGGTCCCACCCCCGCGGGCTACGTCGCGCCCTCCCTTTTTTTCAAACCCAGGGCTGGGCGGGGATTGGTGGGCTGGGCCCTCACGTGGTTAACGGTCGCGGGAAGCCGCAGAGCCCGAACTTGCGGCTGGACTTTCCGAGACCCCAGCCTCGGCGCCCGAGCCACCCAGCGTCTTCTGGACAGTCCGCCCCGTGCCCGCCGCCGCGCCCCCAGCTCCCAGCGCCCGGGAGAGGTCGCCGCCGCCGCGCAGGCCCGCCGCCGCCGCCCGACGCGCCCAGTTGCACGTGGCGGACCCGCCCCCCTGGGCCGGCCGCGACCTGGACTCGGCCGGCCTCGGCTCTCGGGCCCTCGGCCCCAACCCCAGGCCAGCGATGAGCTTCCTGAGCCGACAGCCGCCGCCCCGCCGCTTCGGAGCCGCCTGCACTCTGCGGCAGAAGCTCATCTTCTCTCCTTGCAGCGACTGTGAGGAAGAGGAGGAGGAGGAAGAGGAGGAGGGCAGCGGCCACAGCACCGGGGAGGACTCGGCCTTTCAGGAGCCCGACTCGCCGCTGCCGCCCGCGCGCAGCCCCGCGGAGCCGGGGCCGGAGCACCGCCGCTCTCCCGGCCCGGCCCCCGGGAGTCCCGGGGAGCTGGAGGAGGACATCCTGCTGCAGGGCGCCAGCCCGGACGCGGACGCTGCGGGCGGCGGGGCGGAGGGCGACTCGTGGGAAGAGGAAGGCTTCGGCTCCTCCTCGCCGGTCAAGTCTCCGACTGCCAGCTACTTCCTGGGCAGCTCGTTCTCTCCGGTGCGCTGCGGGGCCCCGGGGGAAGCGTCCCCGCGGGTGTGCGGGGCGCGGCGGGCCATCGTGGTGCCCTGCTCGCCGCTGCCCGACCAGCCGGGCACCCCGCCGCACAAGACCTTCCGCAAGCTGCGGCTCTTCGACACCCCGCACACACCGAAGGTGAGCTGGCGGGACGCGGGGTGGCCGGGCCTTTTTTTTTTTCCTTGAAAGGCCGAGTCTCCGCCGCCACCGCTGCCGCCGGGGTTCGGTTACATAACCGCCCGGCCGCACCCCACTCGCTCTCAAGCGCTGCCACTGAAAGTTGGCAGCCCCTCTTTCTAGCCCGGCCCAGAAGCTGCTGGCCGTTAAGATTATGTAATTGAACAATGGGCCTCTTCGGGAGCGTCTTCATCTTACCCTGGGGGCAGGGCAGGTGGGTGGGGAGCTGCCGCCCCGGCTACTTTTTAGCCCGGGTGTGCAAAGATGCGGGAGGGTGCGGGCCCCACTACCCGACACTCCCGAGCCATATGGTGCCTTTTGAAACTCCGCTGTCGGGCTTGTAATTTGGGCGGTGCAGGCAGAAGGAGGTCGGTTAAAAACAAAATTACCTGCGCCTATGGTTTTGTAGCCTGTGGCGATGGGGGGGGGGACAGGTTGGGGGGGGTCTGCGCCTCCACTTGGGAGTGGAAAGCTAGCCTTCCTTGCATTTCCGGGCGTGGAGACACACTCCCTGAGTAACTCAGGGTGGCTTTTTAAGTCCTTTTTTTATGGCCGGGGGAGGGTGAAGGTTTTGGCTTTTAAGTCTCTTTTGGGGGCCAGAACGTTTCGTTCTGACCTGCGGCTGGTCGTGTCCGTCCGTTTGGGCGGCTGATGTGTGGCCAGGAAGTCACCTGTGTGTTACATGACTTGCAGCAGTGGCTGTGTGGAGCACCTGTTTTGTGGGATGGCCACTGAGTGTGCAGGTGACCACCCTTGGGACTGAAGAGACCACACGACACTATAGGAAGGGGACATTTCCAAGTGAGGATCCTCATATCACACCTGAAGGCTCCCGTAACTGTAAAGTGAGTCTGCACGGACAGCCTCTTGTCGGTGTACCGTTAATCACCACTGAGGAGTTCGTGCGCTGGGAACTTTAGTGTTTGTGAGACTTGCCCAAGGCAAGATCCCTCTGCAAGGGAGGGGCGGAGTCCTGCCTGTGGTTTTCAAAGCCCGGCTTGGATGGGGGAGGGGAGATTGTAAGGCACACTGCTTTCTCTTTTTAGATGGTTGAAAGATTTTGTTAACTTTTTGAAAAATGAGATGAACTTCGTTTTAGTCAGCATAAATGTTCCTTTTAGGATTACAGACCTTACTTTGCTGGCTTTTTCAGATAGGTAGGATTCCCCCTTAACAGCCCTAATTTAGCCACTGTCTGTTTGACTTGCAGTATAGCAAATCTGTGTCCTATGTTTTTTTTTTTGTTGTTTTGTTTTGTTTTGCTGTTCATGGGGCCTGAACTCTGGGCCTGGGTGCTGTCCCTCAGCTCTTCAGCTCAAGGCTAGTGCTCTACCACTTGAGCCACGGTGCCACTTTCAGCCTTTTCTGCTTATGTGGTGCTGAGGAATTGAACCCAGGGCCTCATGCATGCAAGGCAAGCACTCTACCACTGAGCCACCTTCCCAGCCCATGTTTTTTTTTTTTTGTGGGGTGCTAGAAATAGAATTGCACGTGCTCTATTACTGAGCTACTTTCACAACCCCTTACACATTAAGCCACTTAAAATTTAAGGCCTGTTTAGAAAACTGGATTTGGGTCCAATTTTTTGTTTTGTTTTCTTCTCTTCCCTAGAGTTTGCTGTCTAAAGCCCGAGGAATAGATTCCAGCGCCATTAAACTCCGGGGTTGTTCTCTATTCACGGACACAGAACGATCAGGAAAAAGAGAATTTGACCCACGACCAACTCCTCAAGTGAATATTAATCCTTTTACCCCAGATTCTTTATTGCTTCATTCTTCAGGAGAGTGTCGTCGAAGAAAGAGAACATATTGGAATGAGTAAGTAAATTTAATAATTTGCTTTGCCTGCACACCTGATTGGTTTCATATACTTGCCACATTTTTTTTCTTTTCTTTTTTTGTCGGTCATGGGGCTTGAACTCTGGGCCTTGGCGCTCTCCCTGATCTCTAGAGCTCAAGACAAGCACTCTGCCACTTGAGCCACAGCTCCACTTCTGGTTTTCTGGTGGTTAGTTGGAGATAAATGAGAGTCTCATGTACTTTACTGCTGGTCTTGGCTTTGAAGTGTGATCCTCAGATCTCACCCTTCTGAGTTGCTAGGATTACAGGCGAGAGCCACTGGTGCCTGGCTATTGCTTTCTTTCTTATACTATTCCTTGCCTACAACCGATTACTTCCCACTATCTCCTGAGATTAAATGCTACCAAGAGAAAAACAGAGAGCACAAACATACATGACACTCAAAAAATGAAATTTGGCCTGGTGCCGGTGGCTCACTCCTATAATTCTAACAACTCAGGAGGCTGAGATCTAAGATCACAGTTCAAAGCCAGCCTGGGCAGGAAAGTCTATGAGACTCTCATCTCCAATTAACTATCAAAAAATGGACATGTTGCTGTGGCTTACATGGTAGAGAACTTGCCTTGAGCTGAAGAGCTCAGGAACAGCACCAAGGCCCAGGGTTCAAACCCCATGACCACCACCACCAACAACAACAACAAAAGAGAAAGCAAGCAATAAAAAACCTGGATACCTTTTGGAAGTCTACTGTCAAAAATGAGGCAGGCGAAAAGTTGGTTGAGAATGTGTTTCGTTATGTGTGCTAGTGGTTTAGGGAGCCTGTCTCATCAGGGACTTTTCCATCAGCTGGATTGAATTCATGATTACAAAATTAAGTGTTTTTTCCCTCTTTTTATCCATTAAAACTCATTGTACTGTATACTAGTGTGGGTGTGGGTGAGGGGGTCAGTCGGTTGGTCATGGGAATTGAACTCTGGGCCTAGGCGCTGTCCCTCAGCTCTTCAGCTCAAGGCTAGCACTCTGCCACTTAAGCCACAGCGCCACTTCCAGTTTTCTGGTGGTTAATTGGAGATAAGAGTCTCAAGGACTTTCCTGCCCCGGCTTGGCTTTGAACCATGATCTTCAGATTTCAGCCTCCTGAGTAGCTAGGATTACAGGCCAGAGCCACTGATACCCGGCATCCGGCACCCAGCTATATACTGTGTACTTAATAGGTAAAGCTTTGGCCTGGTGCTTATCTCCAATAAACCACCAGAATACCAGAAGTGGCATTGTGCTCAAGTGGTAGAGCTCTAGCCTTGAGCTGAAGAGCTCAAGGACAGTGCCCAGGCTCAGAGTTCAAGCCCCATGACACTCTCTCTCTCTCTCTTTCCCTCTCTCTCTCTCTCTCTCTCTCTCACACACACACACAAAGATAAAGCTTTGGTTCTCAAGTCAAGTCTATTAGATATATTTATGAAAATTATGTGGTTTTTTTTTTTTCAGTTCTTGTGAAGATATGGAAGTCAGTGATTGTGAGTTTGAAGATGAAACAAGACCTGCTAAAGTAAATTACTTTTTTGTTTTGTGTACTGGTGATTTTTGTTTTGTGTTTTTGAAACGGTCTTATTGTGTATCCCATTCTGGTGGCAAACATAGTAAGCCTTTGGAATGCTGGGGTTATAGGTATGGGCCACCATACTGGTTTATAAGTTGCTTTCAGCTATTTCAGAAATCTAATGTACTGCACTAATAAGTAATGATGTAAATATGCTGAGTAAGCAGTAAAATGTAAGGTAGAATGATTTAAAAGTTTTACATACTATCCTGTCACCATAGCAAAAAAATCAATTTTACAAAGGTGGAATATTGTTTTGTTTTTGTTTCACTAGTGATAATGGGGGGTTAAACTTAGCCACCTGGGAGTTGTCCCTTAGCTTTTTCACTCAAGGCTGGTATTCTACCACTTGAGCCACAGCTTTACTTCCAAGGAATATTCTTTTTATTGCAGAGAATTACAATTACTGAAAGCAATATGAAGTCACGATACACAACCGAATTTCATGAGTTGGAGAAAATTGGGTCTGGAGAATTTGGATCTGTATTTAAGTGTGTGAAGAGGCTGGATGGATGCGTTTATGCCATTAAACGATCAAAAAAGCCATTGGCGGGCTCTGTTGATGAGTATGTATTAAGTTTTTTTTTTTTTTTTTTGTCATGGGGCATGTACTCTGGGCCTGGGCGCTGTCCTCATCTCTTCAGCTCAAAGAAGCCCTCTACCACTTGAACCAGAGTGCCACTTTCAGTTTTCTGGTAGTTTATTGGAGGTAAGAGTTTCATGGCCTTTCCTGCCAGGTCTGGCTTTGAAGGGCGACCCTCACGTCTCAGCCTCCTGCATTGCTAGGATTACAGACATGAGCTACCATGAGCTACAGCCTGGCTGTCGTTTGGTTTTTGCCTCTTATGTTATTGCATATAAGTTTTAATTTATCAAATATTGAACTCCTGGGGCTGGGAAGGTGGCTCTGGTACAGGGCTTGCCTTGCATGCATGAGGCCCTGGGTTCAGTTTCTCAGCACCTCATAAGCAGAAAAAGCCACAAGTAGTGCTGTGGCTCAAGTGGTAGAGTGCTCGCCTTGAGCTGAAGAGCTGAGGGACAGTGCCCAGGCCCAGTTCAGGCCCCACGACAAACATACACACACAAAATTACCTAAACTCTTACACTTTTTGAGAAGATACAGATTTAACCATATCCTTTTACTTTTGTATCATTTGTTTTTACTGGTTTTATTAGGGAATACGTAATGTTTGTTTTAGAATGTAATTTCATAGACATGGTAGCACTCATAATTTCATTCAGGCAGGAGGACTGAGTTTGAGCCTGCTTCTTCTACCCCAGATTTTTTTTTCTGATTTTTATTCCAAAGGCTTCTATTAAAGAAGATTGTCAAAGCCATGTGCCTGTGGCTTAGACCTGTAATCCTAGCTACTCAGGAGGCTGAGATCTTACAATCACAGAAGCTAGCCTGAGCAGGAAAGTTTGTGAGACTGATCTTCAATCTGATCTTCAATTAACCACCAAAAAAGCCAGAAGTGGAGCTGTGGCTCAAGTGGAAGGGCACCATCCTTAAACAAAAAAAAAACAGCACTCAGGTCCTGAGTTCAAAACCCAGGATTGGCACAAAAACAAAAAAAGAAAAAGGACTGTCAGAAAATTTGGTAGCCCTACAACTGAGAAAAGATCTGACTTCATTATAATATAAATTCATGGATGTTAACTTAAAAAAAAACAGGCTTTAAAAATTAACCATTTAGGGCTGGGAAGGTAGCTCAGTGGTAGAGCGCTTGCCTTGCATTCATGAGGCCTTAGGTTCGATTCCTTAGCACCACATAAGCAAAAAAGAA